AGCAAAATAGGGGCTAGAAAGATGGCTCAGTGGTTAAGAGCACTGGCTGCTCTTGCAGAAGAGAGAGGTTCAAATCCCAGCACCCACATGGTAGCTAACTCCAGTTCCAGAGGCTCCAGTGACCACTTCTGGCTTCTGAAGGCACTGCATAACATGGGTACACTTACATATATGCAGATATAACATAAAAATAAAGTTTATTTTTAAAAAAGAAAGTAGAGCTGGAAAGCAGACCTGGTTTCAATTCCCAGCACCCACATGGCCACTAACAACCATTCGTAACTCCAGTTCCAGGGGATCCATTGCATTCTTCTGATCTTCGTGGGCATTGCATGACACAGGTAGACTTACACACGTGTAGGCAATACACTCATACACATAAAATAAAAATAATAAAATATAAAAAAAGAAAATATTTTGTGTTTTAGTGTCTGAACGTTCTCTCTGTTTTCACAATACAAATGAAAGAAAGAAATTGAAAGGCTTGTGAGAAATTATGTTATCGATAGTCTGTGAACAGGAGATTTACAGAACTAAGATAGTAAGCTAAACAACAACAAAAACAAAATGGAACTGAGGAGATGGTTCAGTCAGTAAAATGCTTCTTACACAAGCATGAGGCCCTGAGTTCAGTTCCCCAGCACCCATATAAAAGCTGGGTACAGAAGCATGTGCCTGTAATCTTAGTACCAGGGAGATAGGGCCAAGAGGATCCCTGGTCTTGCTAGCCAGCCAGTCTAGCAGGCAAGCATAGGGAACAGCTTAGCAACCTAGGCCTCACTGGGCTCACGCACATACCTCTCTTCTAATAATGCACTTGGCATCCTACGACTCTCACCTGTATGTACTATGCATGTGTATCACTCTCTAAACAATGCACTTAGCAATCTGTCAGTCACCTAGAACCCCCACCTCCATCAAACTGCATGTACATCCCACTTCAAACAATGGAACCAGCTTCTCCTCCCCCTCAAACATAAACAGTGTCTACTCAATCATACTTTTGGTATGGGTGGGTATAGAAGGTAGGGGGATGATCTGACCTAGAATGGTTGTGGGTGCATGTTGAAATAAGGCAAACTGTGTCCTCTAACTGAACTTCTAGGAAGAGTCCATTATTTATCATTTTATGCTTCTGCATTACTTGGCATGCATATTATTAAATCTGATGCATTATGGGAAGAGACGTGCACTGAGCAAAGGTTTACATAATCTAAGCCTGGCAATCAAAATAGAGAACCACCCAAACCACACTTTAATAACCACACTCCTTCCTGAACCTCATAAAAGGAAGCATCAAACAAAAATTTAGGTCCTTGAGTACCCTCACTCACGTGGCCCAGTCACTTCTGACTGTGTATTTCTTTCTTATCTATACTACCACTTTGCTTTGAATAAAACCTTCTTGTTACATTGTAATCTGTGTGCATCTTAATTTCGATTCTTTGAATAAGATGAGAAGAACCTAGAAACATCTGGCCTAGACCCTGACTACTAGTAACAAAACTGATAAAACTGGTGAGCTTCATACTCAAGGAGAAAATAAGGTGAGGAGTGATTTTGGAAAACACCCAACATCAACCTTTTGCCTCCACAAAAAAACACCTTCATATACACAAACATGTAGACACACACGTAATACACACAAAAATTAACAAATGGAAAATTTTAGAAGGCAAGTTGAAGAGGGTTTTCTTTTGTTTTTATGGTATGGAGACCTTGTACATGCTAGGCAGGTATACTTTCCCTGAGCTACATCACCAGCCTACTGTGATATTTAATTTTCAGATACATATTTCAGAGTCCATGAGTACATAAATGTAGAACTAGATTGCTGTCACCTCTATCCAGAGAATGCTAGAGAATTTTTTATGCAATACTTGGTTTTACGAACTAAAATAAGAATATAGTACCTTTGAATGAAGATGCTTGTAGACATGTTTTATGATCTACCATAATAAACATCATTAATCATGTGGTATTAAGGAAAACATTAATGGTTCATAGAGTTTCTCCTGTCATTTTTCCTAGCAAAAAAAGACCCAATTCTAAAAACCACAAAGAAACCATAAAGTTGAATACTAAAACATTACTGCGAAAAGATAAAGTTAAAACTGATTATCCAAAACTAAGTAGAACGGAGCTTCAATTAAAGGTTGTTAGTTTAATATTTTTACTTCAAAAAACCATTTATAAAAAGCAGAGAAAAATGAATCCATAACTGAATTTGAGCCTACAATATCTAAACTTGGAGCACTCTCTTCTATTCCCTAATCCCTCTCACCTTTGTTTGCGCACATATATCTATGAAGGTCAGGAGTCCACACAGACTATCTTTATTGATCTCCACATTATTTTTCTTTAACTTTTATTTTATGTGTATGAGTGTTTTGTCTGCATGTATGTAAATGCACCTGTGGCAGGCAATGCCAGTGGAGGCCCGAAAAGGATATCAGATCCCCTGGAACTGGAGTTACAGATGGTTGTTAGTCACCATAAGCAATTACCATACAAATAATTATAAATCAAAGGGGGTCAGAAACTTATACTTGAGATGGGGGTGAGCTCAGTGGTATAGCATATGTTTAGCAGAGGCAAGGCCTTAGCTTCAATTTCTAACACCAAAAGGGAAAGGGAGGGAAGATGGAGGGGAAAAGAAGGAAAAGTATTATTAAATATTAAATCAAGCTTAAGACCTGTTATGACTATTATTTAACATGTTTCTAGTGAATCATAAAACAACAGAGAAATTCTGCAAAGAACACAACAACAAAAATGACCTCACTCCGATTAAATGATACAAGAAAAAATGAAAACTGTATAAACTAGTAGGAAAATGCAGTAAAGTGACTGGCTATAAAATGAACATGCAAAAATTAATAATTCTTTAATATAACTCATGGAAAAATATGATTGAAAGTTTAAACATAATACTAAGTAAAACTATAAATAACAGGTAATAAAAGGTACAAATAAAGTCAACTGTCTTGGACAGGAAGACAGCATTAGAGAGTGTCCAATCCTCACCAGGTATGATGGCTCATGCCTGTAATCCCACCTCAGGAAGATGAGACAGGAGGACTACTGTGAGTTCAAGGCTAATAAATTCAAAGGCAGGGCTGGACTACAGAGCAAGACCCTGTCCCAAAACAACACCAATAAATGAGCGTTTCACCACTAGAGATTTGGAACTTACCCCAAGAAACTGACCCCACACCTCACTGCCCATGAGCCATCAGTCAGAGTTTGGTGTTGGCAAATAACCCCAAAGGAGCCTAGTAACACTCTGGATTTGATCAAGACCTGCATCTCTCTGCTCAGTTCTGAATCATGAAAATCAGCCCCAAACGGTTCAAGTTTCTCAGATGCACCCAAGAAACAAGAAACAACCTGCAGAGAAGCAGGAGCCCACACATTTCATAAATCAATTAAAATGTCAAGTAGGGAAAATGTGCTTATTCTCTAAAAGAGATTTCAAGTAACTTTTAGAAGCCTTTTTTTTTTTTAGCAGAGAATTTGACTATATATATATGGACTATAAAATATAAGCTTTTCACATTGTTTCTGAATAGAATCAAGAGAAAAAACTTTTGGAATTTTTTTTTACATTAAGAAATCCTTAAATACCACAGTCCTTAATTTTCCAGAATCTGTGATTGCTTGACTAGGATTTGGTTTCAGGATTATCTTTTTACTCTCTGGACAAAAATAGTTTCCTAAGAAAATTTATAGTGTAGCCAGGTGTGGTGCCACAGGCCTGTATTCCCCCTACATGCAAAGTAGAGCAGGAAGACAGGATGTTCAAGGTCATCTTTGACTACAAAGCAAATTCAGGGTCAAACCCTGACTCAAAATAAAGAGAGGGTGTTGGGGACCCCTGCTGTTTAGAGTAGCAGTCTCCCCATGTCCGGATAGCCGCAAGCCGGCTCAGAGCAAATGGGGAGACTCCCCTTCTCAGCGGGGTGCCTTCTGCTCTCCTCCCTGACTTACTTTTGAAATGCCCGTCACAGATACACGCCCTCTGGCACAGAAACCACCAGGTTTTAATCAGGCATTGTCTGATAGTCTGATAGAAGCCCACTGCTCTATGTAAATGAAGCATTCCAGGAGCACCTATCAGCTAAGGCTTTTCTAGTGTCTCCACACTATAAATAATCCTAGTTTTACCCCAATAAAGCTGGAGCTGAATCACTGAGATCTGAGCTGAGTCACTTGTCTGAAGCTGTAACACTAAATCCTGTGATCCAGTCTCCC